CCCATGGGCTGGCAGGCACGAAGTTCTGGCACCACTGCAATGATTTTTGAAGCTTTAGACAAGTCACACCCCTAGATATACAGTCGTGGCTAAAAATATTTTCAACCCTGAATTTCTGTCAGATAATGCATCACTTCACCCAGAAAATTGTTGCAGTTTACAAATGTTTAAGCATTCTCATGTTAATTTATTTTATTTGTATTGGTATTCCCTGAAAAAGTGGGGAAACAAAAAGCCAAAACTGACACATTCCGTGCTAAACCCCATGGGCAAAATAATTGGCACCTTCTAAAAAATTGTATGAAATAATTCCAAGTTTGTGATGCTCCTGTAATTTGTAATTAAACTTACCTATATCAATTAACAGGTGCTGACAATATAGAAATCACGCTGGCAACCAGTTAAAATGGTGAAAAATTTACTTAACCTTTCTGTTGTGTGCCTCTGTGTGCCACATGGAGAAGAGAAAGAGCTACAAAGAATTGTTTGAGGATTTGTGAACAAAAATTGTGGAAAAGCATGGACAATCTCAAGGTTACAAGTCCATCTCCAGAGATTAATGTTCCTGTGTCCACTGTGTACAACATTGTCAAGAAGTTTACAGCCCATGGTGTCGCAAACTTGTGCATCAGAGATGGATGCAGTGCAACCATTTTGTAGGCACCTCCATCTTCCTCCTTCTCCCCCCCCCCCCTTCTTCCTAAGAGGCACAGTGACAGATGTGTGTGTGCTGGTTATGGGTCAATGGCAGGGCAAGGCAGCCCTAGTTCGGTGCCGAGCAGTCTGCGAAAGTGTAGCCTTTCTCACCTAGGCCAGGATAAGGCCAGTGTTCCCAAGAGAGACAGAGCCTCTCTGCCCCAGAACCTGTGTAATTTCTCACCTCGTAACAGAGATAAGGCAGCTTTCCCAGGAATTGAAAGAGGTTCTACCCTCATAAAACCTAGCAGCATAGGTGACAGAATTAAATGAACGTTCCTAAAATCAAGTTTTATCCTATGTCTCATATCTTGGAATATGAGAGACATACATAAAAGCTGGACATATCATCGGATGGACGATGAGCAGGCGAATAGGTCACTCGTCCACCTCAGATCATCAGAGGAGCCAAAACATAGAACTCGTACAATTTCATAATTCATTTATACATGATCCTTAGACTTATCTGCATAATAAAATACCTGCGGAGAGATTGTCGCTTGTGCAGCTGGGAAGTTATAGGCCAGAATATGAATTATAAAAGATGCTGGTCCTAATTTTGGGTTTCGCCTGCCAATCCCTCCCTAAACAGAGTATTGGTCAGTTACTCAGAGCCACCCCCCTGCTGGGGGACTTTAAAAAACAGGCTAGCAGGCCTAAAGAGTAAGTTGAAGACATCTCCTATCTTTCCATCGTAACATATGGAGATCAAATCCTGCTTCTGCTCTGCAACTTGGGTACTTTAACTCTTCCCCTTCTCTCTGATATCTCTTTGCTGTGCTATGGTCCTCTGTGTGTGTGTGTGTGTATATGTGTGTGTGTGTGTGTGTGTGTGTGTGTATATATATATATATATATATATATATATATATCTATCTATCTATCTATCTTAGTTGCATCTTTTTTCTGTAAATATTTTTATTGCACCCTGTTTGACCTTTTAGTAATAAATCTTCCTTTCTGAAAGTGTTGAACTGTTTCTATAGCTTTTAGTTGCAATTTACGAATCCCTGCCTCATAGCTGAAGCCGAGTTTCCTCTTTCTCTGTACCAAAAAGGAGGTGGTGGCAGTGAATGGTTAATTGCGTGATTAACCTGACCCAGTAACGAGCGCATTCACGCTGCAGGCACAGATTGTAGTCCATTAGCTGGAAAATTGCTGTGCAGGGTGAAGCTGGTTGTGGCATTGTTACGCACGTCACATCGCGATTTCCGATTGGCCAGTCCTTCGGTCACGCGTTTGGTGAGAAGGTCTGGGGTCTGACGCCGCGATCGTGACATATTGGTGGCAGCAGTCGTGGGATTGTTGCATGTTGGTGGTGGCGATCCGTGACACATGGCACTGTAGATAATCTCCCTGGACATGGATAAAACAGAAAAATTGAGCAAAGATTGCAAAGAAGGATTGTTCGAATGGTGGCTAAAAAACATTGCTCAACTTCCAGACAAATTCAAGCTGACCTTCAGCCACAGGGTACAACTGTCAGCTCGTACTATATGTCACCATCTGAATGAAAAGGGACGCTATGGTAGGAGACAAAGGAGGACCCCACTGCTGACACAGAAACATAAAAAAAGCCAGATTGGGGTTTAGCAAAACTTGCTTGAGGAAGTCCAAATCCTTTTGGGAGAATGTGCTGTAGACAGACGAAACAAAATTAAAATTGTTTCAGTAAAGCCCATAATTCTTCTGTTTTCAGAAAAAGCAATGAGGCCTTCAACCACTTGCCCTCCAGATGATTTACCCCCCTTCCTGACCAGGCCATTTTTTGCGAAACGTGCTGTTACTTTAACTGACAATTGTCCTGCAATGCTGCACCCAAATGAATTTTATGCCCTTTTTTGCAACAAATAGAGCTTTCTTATTTGATCGCCTGTGCAGTTTTTTGTTTTTTTTTTTCTATTTTTGTGCTATAAACAAAAAAGGAGCAACAATGTTGGAAAAAAAAAACAATATTTTTGACTTTTTGCTATTAAACATGTCCAGTAAAAATTTTTTAAAAATCAAATGTCATAAATGTAGGCCAAAATGTGTTCTGCTACATGTCTTTGCTAGAAAAAAAAAAACAATACGTATAAATTAATTGGTTTACGTGAAAGTTGTAGCATTACAAATGGCGGTGTATATATACTGGAATTTTTATTTTTTTTTAATAGTAATGGTGACGATCAGCGACTTATAGCAGGACTGCGGCGGGCATTCTGACACTGGGGGGAATTGACTTGGTGTCATTGACGTCCTCAGTGACACCAATACAGTGATCAGTGCTAATAAAAAGCACTGACACTATACTAATGGCACTGGGCGGGAAGGGGTTAACATGTAGAGTTCAAAGGGTTACCTGTGTGCCGTTTTACTGTGTGCTGCTATGCAGAGCCATACAAAATCTGTTTTTGTTTATACACAGGTCTCTCCCCCGTCGGTAATACTCGGAGATCACCTGGTGCCGGTGGGGAATCACCGTCCGGAACCCAGTGATTGACAGCCGATGCCACAAATAGCAGTGTGGGTAGGGCGCACGTGTTCCCACTACCCGGAACTGCAAAATCACTTGTATATTTAGAAGTGATTTTGCACACCCGTGCCACCCTGTAGCAGTATTTCTGCTATAGTGCAGTGTGGAAGCGGTTAAAGAAAAGAATACAGTCCCTACAGTCAAACATGGTAGAGATTAACTGATGTTTTGGGGTTGCTTTGCTGCTTCAGACACTGGATGTCTTGACCAGTGCGCGGCTTTATGAAATCTAAAGACTACCAAAGAATTTCCGGGTACAATGTGGAGCCCATTATCAGAAAGTTGGGTCTCCATCAGAGGTCATGGGTCTAACAGCAGGACAATGACCCAAAGCACAAGTCAAGAAGCACCCAGCAATGGGTTTAGACAAAGTGCTGGAGAGTACTGAACTGGCCGGAAATGAGTCCAGATCTCAATCCCATAGAGCACCTGTGGAGAGATCTCTCAAAACAGCAGTTGGGAAAAGGAACCCTTCCAATGCGAGAGACCTGGAGAAGTTGGCAAAAGAGTGGTCCAAAATTCCAGTAAAGAGGTGTAAGAAACTCATTGACTTTCCAAGGGGTGTGCTACCAAATATTAAATTGAGGGTGCAAATTTTGTCCAGTCCATTTTTGGGGTTTTGCATGGAATGTCAGATTTGGCTTTTTTTCTCCACTTTTTTGTGTCATACCAATACAAATAAAAATGAGAATGCCTAAATATTTGTAATTGCAACAATTGGGTGAAGTTGTGCATTATCTGCCAGAAATGCAGGGGTGCCAATATTTTTGGCCATGACGGTTTTTCTGTGTGGGGGTAAGATGTACACTATATGTGAAATCCCATTATTGGCATATTTTAGTTGGTACAAATAAACACTTCCACCTTAAAGGAAAGGAAAGTGCACATTTCCCGCACTGTGTTCAAACGCACTGCCCTTGTGATCTGCATGTAAGTGTCATTTTATTGTTAACGGCACACCAAAAGCAGATTGCAAGTGTGTTTGCGGATACAAAACGGTACTGCTGTTAAAATGCACTGCATGGAAATGCACAAAAAATGTGTTAATTCCCGTGATCCCTTTCTGAATTGGACATCAGACTAGGGATACAGCAGCACTATTAGCAATGAAAGTGCTTTTTTGTTTTCTGAGCGCACATTTGTCTGGCTATAAAGACCTGTTCATACCAGAATGTGGTGTGGGAAAGGCGTGTTTCCTGCACATTTCCCACACCACATGTGAACATGCTGCCTTTGCAAAAAGCATGTGGATGCCAATTTATTAATAACACTGCAAACTCATCTTGCAAATGCAGTGTTTGTGGCCACTAAACTGCATGATACCACAATACCATGCAGTTTGGTGTGGTGCGATTGCAAAAGTAGTGTTTGCAAATGAATAGGTTTTCGAATCTGGAACGCAAAGGGACCACATGGGAACGTGGTTCCTAATAAAAAAATGAAGAACCCATAAAAACAGTGTACCAAATGAAAACCTTATATATTCTTAAAATCACTATAATAATTATTTGTGTGAAAATCAGTCATAGAATTATTTCTAAGTTAACTGACGTATGCTGATGCTGCTACAATTTGCCTGGGCATCTAGGGATCAAGGCCATCTGCTAACAAGAAGGTTAAGTAGATCCATTTATTGACTAGACTTACTAGATTTACTTTGTTGTACAAAACAGCCAGTAACCTCAGGATTGGATACGTATTTTTTTCTGTGATTCTGGAAAATGTCAATATTTTACTGGAATTCAAATACGAAATACTGCTTTAACTGCTGGTCTTTAATTTTCCAGATAAGATCCTGAAGGAGCTGATTGAGCCTTATGAGAAGAGAGCTAATGAACTGGGACAGTTCCTGGTCGATGTGAAGCCGTCTCTTATATATGACATAGTGCCTATATCAGATCCTTATGGCCCTTCAATAACTGACCCGGACCTGAAATGCATTGGGTGGTCAGTGAAGAGACTCGTAAGGGAGGACTCTCTGTGAACAGGAGGCGTCTAGAAAATGTAAAGCTTCCATACTGCTTTATGAAAAATTATCGTGTTTTGCTGTACATTTGTTCAGGACTAAAAGAATGATCAGAAATTTCATAATTCGGGAAAGCAGGAGGCAAGCAACAGCTGTGTGAGAAATGATATAGTGCTCCACTGTTTATATAATGTAACATAACTGAAGAACAAGAGAGATCAGATTACACAGACCTAAGAATTTGTAAGATGAAGGACAAACTCCCCACTTCTCTCTTAACCATGGCAGGACTGTCTGCTTATTCAAATATACACAAACTAGTAATAAAAATGCAGCTGATGACTTCCCTATTAGGGTATTTGTAAAAATAAAGATTTTATAAAAATCAAAAAGGAATGATAAATAATTATAAAAACCTGGTAATCATGTCCAAACCTGTGAGGTTTGGATGGGGGAAAAAAAAAGCCTTAGCTGAAGTGAAAATGATATAAGGCTAAGGTAGATTCCAAGATATAGTCAGCTGAATTTCATGTAGAAGTCAAACTTGGTCCTGCCAACTATTTTGCCACCCATTACATTAAACCCCAACAGAGAGGTAGCAGTGGGGCCATACCAAACTTTTACTAGAAAAGTCAAAATTTCCATTTATTTCGCAGCTATCTAAGATCATAATATTTTGACATCCGATTTTTACTTTTGCTTGTTTTCATCTTATGCACTGTTTTATGTCCATGTTTTTGCCATGTTTACATTAAATACATGTACAATGAAAGGCTAACTGTTCCTTAAAAAAGATTGTTTATTTATAAAGTCCAGGACTTCAAGGTACTTTGCAAAGATGGCCCTATCCAAAATTTAAAAAAAGGGCTGCAGTTAAAGCTCATGTTAAAGTATGCATAGTGTTAATTGTGCTACGGTGGAGGGGAAATTTGCCATTATGGCTCCAGGTCTCTCACATTTATACACAAAGGACCACCTACCTACACATGGGAACATGCTTTTAAGAGTTTTTTTTTTTCACAACACCTGTACAGTGTTCGGGATGGTTAAATCTGTCATCTTGGTGTTTGAAAAATTGCTCAGCTTATGCTTTAAAAGCATAGTTCAGCTAAACAAAAGAACTGCCTATGCAGGCAATGGGCATCTGTAGATAAATACAAACTGTGCATCTTTGACAAAATACCATAACAGATCAGTGCTGCTCTGAGCCCTCAGTATCAGTCTCCTGGGTTAACACTCTGTATTCGGGTGGTGGCAGAGACAGAACATATCTTGCACCAAAATACAATATAGAATATAAATACTGCCACAGACTGTATTTATCTCTTGTGTTAACAGAATGAAAAGCCTCTACGATTAGGTTCAATGTGGGTGAAACATAGGGTGTTATGACCAATGAGCTGGGATTGAAGCCTGTCTTTCTTTCACTTTCCATTGGAGTTGAATATAGTGCGCAACAGCTTTGACCAAAGTTGAATAAGGCCCTTGCTATAGGTGTTAGGCCATTTACATACCTCATGAAGCCTGACTAAAAAACTCAGAGATTGCAGTGCCCTCTACTGCCTTGTTGCTAGGATGTTGCTAAGACATGCCCAGCTGTTACTGTGCACTGCAACTATCACAGGAGTGAACTCTCAAATGCGGAGCTCAGAGCTACTGCATGGGGGGAGAGAGAGCACACGTGAGAAATTTCAATCAGAGAGACTAAATAAATGCAGGAAAGGGATGAAGTAAATTGTAGTAGGGGGCGGCACATCCCAAGTTACTGGAAACGTGTTTGAAGGACTTGCAACAATGTAACATAACAAATAGAAATTTATTGAACAACTATCTTAAAAACAGCAGGACATAATAAAATATACATATACACCCATATAACAGGAAGGAGAACCCCCACATCGCTTAATGTTCAGTAACTCTCAATCACCGATGTCACTCTTTATATAACATGAGGAGTTCCACCATCTTTGTCCTGACCATGCTTCGCAGAATCATGCTTCTTCAGGAGGAATTTTAAAATCTAAATATTTACAAAATAGACAATATTACTAACATATAGTAACCAATATAAAACAAAAAATATTTTTTCCATCAACTTAGTTATAAGGTACAATGTATGCGCCCATGTATGACTTACACCTCTGTTAGACAGGAAGAAAGTGCACTACAGGCACCAGAGGAGCCAATATATTCCTGGGCAAGCATGGGAGCACATGAATGGAAGTTTCACTAAAAAAGGATATATTTAGCCCCACATCAAAATACACATATTTTAGAGGGTGATAATTATCCCCACTTACCCTGGTAAACTGTGCCAGCATGTGTGCACATTTACAAAGTCATTGGATATTGGAAATGTTGTTGGTCTCAAACTACAACTAAAAGAAATGAATATATTCCGATAGCTTGCATGTACTGTACAGGCGTACCTCGGTTTATGAATTTAATGCGTTCTGTGGGACTTTTCACATTGCGAAAATTCGTAAAACCAAAACACGGTTTCCTATAAGAATGCATTGAAAACCAATTAATCCGTTCCAGAGGTCAGAAAAAAGTAAAAAAAAAAAAAAAGTATTTTATCTGTTCAAAACTCTTTATAAAGTGCACTTTAAAGGCATAGTACTGTACAGGGACATGATTAAAAAAAAAATTTGTAAATGCATTGAAAACCAATTAATCCGTTCGTATTGCGAACACAATTCGCAAACCGAGCCATTATTTTCAATAGATATTCATTCGTAAACCGAAAATGATGTTCACCGAGGCGTTCGTAAACCGAGGTACGCCTGTATATGAAAAACATACCTTACAATAGTATATACACCACACAGGTAGGTAAGCAAGATACTCGATCATGAAGTTTGTTTCAGGCAAGGATATCCACCCAGTCCTCCATAACTGATCCAATTGCTGTCAGTTAAATTCTTACAAAGATTCAGGGAAAGAGCTTGTTCGTGTGATGGTGTGAGTGAACAGCTGTAAGTGTCTTGGCAACATCCTAACCAACAAGGTAGGACACGGGGATGCAGTCTCTGGGAGATTTACAGCCAGGATTCATGAGGTATGTAAATGGGCTACACCTATAGCAAGGGCATAATTCAACTTTAGTAAAAGCTGCACAGTTTGTTTTTATCTACAGATGTGCTTTGCTGACATAGGCAGTTTTTTTAGTTAATGTGAACTAATCCTAAAGGGCCAGTTCACACCATAGAAATACAGTCCAGATGCGTTTCTGTATGCATGTGTTCGACACATTCTGGTGCGTGTTTGATCCATTTTACTGCATTCCAGTACAGTTCAGTGCAGAAAAAATGCAGCATGTTCTACTTTTTTTTTTTTTTTTTTCTTTTCTGGAGCTGGAATGCACTGGAACTGACTGGTGTGAAGTATGCCATTGGAAACCATGTAACCTACTATCAGTGCGTTTTTGATGCAGAAAAAAAAAACGCACTGAACTGCATGTGGTGTGAACTGGCCCCAAAATCCAAGTGTGCGTTCAGGGGCACGCGCCTGTCAAATTGGGACCAGCTCTAGAGACCTAAATGGACTGCCTGCACACGTATTCAATGTGCATCCAGTGTGGGCAAACACGAACCCTTTACAGGGATGTACTTTTAAGTACGCCTGTGTGAATGTTTAATTATGCTTTTTTCTCTGAATATCTTCTTATACTTTAAAATAGTAGGACATAATGTTATGTCCAGATCTGTGATAGTTCACTCAAATTATTGAAACCGTGCCTTGTACTCTTCCTTCACGTTCTCTAGGGGCTCGAAGAACTGGATGTTCATGAGATCAAGCTGGTCACAGATCCTCAACACTCCAAAAACGAAGAGGAGAAAATTAGCTCATCCAGCCTCAGGAACAGATTATTAGGGACCCTGCTGAAACCTCCAGCTGTAAGCATCTTTGTTTACACAGTTTTTTTTTTTTTTTTTTTTCATTTTATGTAAACAATGTTGGGCTTATTTCTTCAAGCAACAGTTTGCAACTTTAGCAACCTGTGGGACCTGACTATATTAAATAAACTAAATGAGAAAGTTTTACAATAGTCCTTTTCACTGAGTAAGGTCAGTGCTGGGGCACTGCCTGATATGGTTACTTGTAATCTGTAAGGCTCCATTCACACTAGGGCATTTCAAATCGCCGCAAATCACTGCGGTTTTGCCTGCGATTTGAAAACGCTCTGTGAAAGTGTGAAACGCATGATTGCTTGTTCAGGTGCGTTTCATTGCAATGGCATGTGAAAATGTGGGCGTTTTTGCCGCGATCTTGGAGTTTTTCTCTGTGGCAAACGCAGTCGCAGGATGCGCGAGGACCAAAACCGGTTCCAGAGCCTTTTTTGGGCGTTGCACGTCCCGCGATTTTCTTTGTGCGATAGCTGTGCAGAAAAACACACCAAAATAGTGGCAACATCGCTCTGCATTTTCAGATGCCATTGAAATTAATGATACCTGAACACGTTATTGTGCGTTTTCACACTTTCACAACGCATTTTCAAATCGTGGGCAGAATCGCGGCGAATCCGCCAGTGATTTGAAACGCCCTAGTGTGAATGGAGCCTAAGGCACTTCATACCATATTGTTGCTATAATACAGAAAATTAATTAGAATGTTTTGCTGATTATCATTGATCAACTGTGGTACATGTTTTAACGCCCAACTTTATATCAGCTAAATACAGTCCAAGTGCATAAAAACAAATGGTGTGCAAAGTCTTGGTTTGATTTCTTTAAAAGGAATCATACCTTTACACATATTGACTTCAGAATGTTAGATGAACTTAAAAGACATGTCCCTTAAAAGGTATGAACAAGAGCCAGGCGCTGTGTAGTTTTGTGATAAAAGTAATACACCTTATATGGAGGTGTGCCTTTTAAGAATTCATGTGGTAAAAAATAGAACCATCCTGTGGCTTTAAGAAGCCAGGTTCCAAGATGGATGGCCCGTCCGCTCAGAGGGAAGCAGTGGAGAGTAGAATGCCTGTCGGTGCAGGGACCACTTGTATCTGACGTCCCAGCGTCACGGGTGACATCACCACTTTGTTCCTGTCCTTATAATGTTTTTTATATTTCAATTGCAATCCGATCCTGTTATGAGATGAGCTGTCTGCTCCTGATTATCCCCCTGGTTGTTAAGCCGGCAGTATCGCTATAAATCACTGATCGCCGCCATTACTAGTAAAAATTTCCGGCCTCTTCTGCCATTCAGGTCTCCTATAAAATGGCCGATTGCTGGACTTTTCACAGACTTGATAAAGCGCATGCACCCTAAACATGTTGTCCCAGAAACCGGCCTCTTCCTTCTAAAGCTGCGGCTCCAGCGAGAGCCCCCCGCCGTCTCTCCACATCGTAGTGACATCACCTGGGACACTGGGACGTCGGATACACGTGGTCCCTACACTGACAGGCACTCTACTCTCCACTGCTTCCCTCTGAGCGGACAGGCTGTCCATCTTGGAACCTGGCTGGTTATCTATTTTTTACCTTATGAATTATTAAAGGCACACCACCATATAAAGTGTATTACTTTTATCACAAAACTATACTGAGCCTGGCTCTTGTTCATACTTGTTCACAAACCAATGTGTTTTTGCCATGGCAGCAGTGAGTTTTTTTCCCCACAGTTGACACTTACCATTCACCTATTTACTTTGGGACACATCTGTACGCTTTTATCCAGACCGTTCCCACTTAAAAGGTACCCTCCGAAATTATTATATTCAGAAGAGAGATTCTGGGGCTCCTACATCCATGCCAGAATGGAGGAAGTCCCTGATTCAAAAGTGGAACTCTTAACCACTTGCCCTCCAGACCAGGTCATTTTTTGTATTATGGCGCTGCATTGCTTCAACTGACAATTGCATGGCCATGCAACACTGCACCCAAATTAAATTTATGTTCTTTTTTTTCCCACAGATTGAGCTTTCTTTTGGTGGTATCTGTTTGCCTGTGCATTTTTTATTTTTGCGCTATAACAAAAAAGGCCGACAATTTTGAGAAAAAAAACAATATTTTTGACTTTTTGCTATTAGTAAAAAAAAATCAAATTTCGTCATAAATTTAGGCCAAAATGTATTCTGCTACATGTCTTTGATTAAAAAAAAAGAAAATAATAATCCCAAAACATGTAAATTAATTGGTTTACGTAAACGTTATAGCGTTACAAATGGCGGTATATATACTGGGATTTTTTCATTTATTTTTTATTTTTACTAGTAATGGTGGCAATCAGTGACTTATAGCGGTACTGCACAGACATTCTGACACTGGGGGGAACTGACTTGGTGTCCCTGATGTCCCCAGTGACACCAATACAGTGATCCCTACCCGGAAATGCAAAATCACGTATACGTGATTTTGCGCACCCATGCCGCCCTGTAGCAGTATTTCTGTTATAGGGAGGTCGGGAAGCGGTTAAGCTGACCATGCACTAGCAAATATTCAAGCGAGCATTCATAGGAAAAGTCTCATCAGTACATTTGAAAGTACTTAAAGTTTGCTTTTAACATTCGATTTTGAAATAAATGTAATTTCCTGAACAAAATGCCACATTCTCTGTTAGAAATATGTTTGCTCGAGATGATTTTCTTTCCTGCTTTGAATTTTTTTTGTCATTGCTCTCTAAAACAAATGTCAAATTGACCCCACCAACCAACAATTAGAACTAACTTAAATTACCTTTTTTCAAATGAAAGTCTACCAGTGTATGGCCAGTTTTAGTCATTTTTGTTATTGTAACAGAAATTTCTAGATTAGTCACCATAGCTGGCCATACACTAGTATAATTTTCCAATCAAAAATTTTCATTTTAAGAATGTTTGCTTGCTTTTCTAATCCTTAGTGGGGTGAAATCAACATGACCATAATCACGAAAGGATGTTCTTGAACGAACAGAGTTCCAACAGTGTATTTGGTTTTTGTTCAGGAGATTTACATTAATTCAATAAGCTTAGAAAATCAGAGTGCTCGTGGTGAAAGCCAGGATAATAATGCAATGGCGTACATATCCAGCAGTCAATGTTTATGATACAAACGTTTTTTAATAAACCAATAAAACCTTAATAACCATGTTACAAAGTATCCATGTGGTAGTATGGTACAAGTAAAGAGAATGGCACAAGTCACAAGCTGAAAAGAATGGTGGGAGTGGCTTACTTGTATATAGACATGGCTATGAGGAGCCTAGATTTTGAACTCCACAGATGGAAAAGTTGTGAACAACAGCAGTTGGGGAGAAATGTGTCCACAAGCCAGTGGCCTAGTGAGATGCCACTTGAGAGATCAGAGAGACCAAAAAAGACCTCCTTGGTGTCACCGAGGACCGCGCAACAAAGGTGACGTCATGGAGCACCGGAAATGACCTCAGTGGAACGCAGGAAAGCAAACAACAGCCATCATGAGCCCTCAGCAGGAAGGAGACTGACCAAAACAAGTCCTGGTTACCATGATGATGCGTTTCGCACAATTCAGTGCTTTGTCACAGTCAGTTGGTAACCGGGGTGAAGAGGAATACATATAATCAGCTTGCAAATTGGGGTGAAGCCCAAAGAGGGAAAGAGGAAGGTGAGTCCGGAAATTTAAAGGCATATATGCCTAATGTAATTAACGTAAGCCGGTCTCACAGACCATCATAAAAGATACATATTGTTACAAATAATTATGTAGAAATATAAATATATACTGTATGTATACAAATATAAATGAACCAAAAAAGCAATAAAATCACAGATTACAAGTTACACTTTTTTATATATAAAGCACTAGTATATACCATTATGAAAAATATCAAATCTAATATATAATATGTAATATAACTAGAATGTAAATACATATATTGAGAAAAAAACATATATAATGGGAAAAAGAAAGAGGAAGGAATCAACCATAACAGGAATATTAATAAATGCCTGTGTCAGTGTTTTATGTTAGTGTACCTCAGCAGGGGCGGACTGACCATTTGGAAACTCTGGCAGTGCCTGAGGGCCCGGGGTCATTAGGGGGCCCCATGAGATGCCCCTGGTACTTTTTTCATAGGCTTTTTTGAGTTTGGGCAAGGACACAGGGGCCCCATGATCCCCTATTTCCCGGGGGCCCCATGAGTTGTCAGTCCGCCCCTGTACCTCAGGGCCCTCATTTAGCCCATCCGGTGTCATGGTACCTAATTTAAATATCCAGAAGGTTTCTCTCCTGCAAAGGAGGGAGAATCTTTTGTTGATATATCATTAATGCATTCTGTTGCCAAGACTTCCATATTCTTAAAATCTTTGTTATGATGTTGGAGAAAGTGGTGGGGTACACTTGATTGCTATCTTTTTAATAAGTCGGTGATGCTCCTCGATCCGTTTACGCACGGTCCGAAAAAGGTTATCCAGACAGATTGTTTCTAGAAGCACAGGCTAAACATCTATCAATTCCACCCAAAAGAATCAAATCATCTCTCAATAATTCTAATTCAGTTAGATTTATTACTGGATTCAGTACTAAATACAAAAGCCATTTCAGGTATCATCCGCAAACACTGGCACATACTTAAATTAGACCCTAAAATTAGGTCCATTATTATCACCTAATCCTATTGTCACTTTCAAACGTGCATGTGCACTAAAAAATATTTTAGCCCCTAGCAAATTAATATCACATAAAAAAACAGGTACGTCTTCAGATATACGTTCCTTTTTTGATAACAGAGTAGGTATCTGCCAAGGCCATAAGAAGAGATGTTTAACTTGTCAGTCCATACAACATGCACAATCTAGTTTTGAGGATAATAAGAGAAATCAATTTGCGATCAGTTTATTACCTGTTCTTCAGAAAATGTGATTTATGTTTTTTCGCTGTCCATGCAAACTGTTGTATGTTTGCCGTACCAAGCACACATTGCGTAAATGGATCGGGGA